CTTTATTTAAAAAAATACTTGTAATCTATACACAGAGGCTTTAATAAACTGATTTTTGATCTCATTTTTGATTTACAAAATAACATCACAGAAAGAAAAACATATATATCACAAATGTTAATCTCCGTACCTTTAAACCTTCACATACAATTTTAATTTGCAAATCCAAAATTTGAGCACAAATTGAACTAATACATTTATATAATGTTGGTAAAAGTACCTGGAGCAGCATGTACCTCGAGCACTGTTTGTAGTTTAACAAAGGCAATACAATAGAAACGTAACAAAGAAGAAACAGACAAACAAGTTTTATGAGTACAATAAATAAAATTGTATTCAACCTGTGTCAAGGAATGAAATATTGTTACATCAGAGCAGCTTGTTTTTAAAAATCTTAACAAATCTAAAATGTATACATAAACGATGAATAAAAATAAATGACATATAGGTGTAAATGACCATGTACATGTAACTAAGCAAAAAAAAACATTTAACAATTTTCTATCACATTATCGCTATATAAAACATAATAACTACAAGAAATTGTAACATTTTTACAGTTGGTAAGAATAAATCATATATTCTGTGTAACACTGTATTTCAGATTTAAGCATTGATACAGGGATTTAACAAAAGGTATCTGTCTGCATGCTGCAATCAGTTGGAAGCCATGACCAAAGCCATGTATTTTCAGAGATTCTCTGTAAAGTTCAATAAATTCTAGGTTTTCTTTTACTTCAATGACAAGAGTTGCTTTGTTATGATTAGAGATTATTATACAACCCATGTCTTTCTACATTTTATCAGTAAAGATCGTATAAAAGCTATTCAGAACAAAAAAAGATTTATAATACAGCCTCTTATGAGGTATTGGCAATCCTTACTTTAGGAGTCTGGTAAAAACACCATGTCAAAAATCTGAATAAAGTACGATCCTTTGAAAGCATTACTACAACAAAATTAAATGAAAATTGCAGAATCAGTTTGATTGAGTCTGTACAAGAGGGACAATGAAAAAATATAACATCCCTCATACTCCCTAGCACCGGCTTGAGTGGTACTCCATTTTCAACTCTTAAGAAATGCTATACATTAGGGTTACTCAAAGGATAATCTTGTTTTTGGAATTATGATTAGCTCAAGTGATTCAAATTTGCACTAAGTAGTGGAGTGTAGTATACGACTGAGCTCATTCTTGTGAGTCAAAAGCAAGGTCCAAATCAAAGTAGGTAAATAGCTATTTTAAATTAAACTGTAACATAACTTACTATCACAATGAAAGTTTTAATGAAATAAACTTTGATTTGAAACTGTTGCAATTGTCTATACTATTTCTAACATATGAAAAATAAATTATAAAAGACTATGATCAGTACATTATATCAATTTACATAAAAGCAGCTAAAATGTATACAAACTTTAAATAACAACTTTAATTAAGAGGGACAAAACAATTTTTATTCAACTTAGTAATAGTTCTAAAAACCATAAAATTTATTCATACTAGTGCGTAAAATGTTCATTTTTAAACAAATTAACAACAAACTTTCTTACATGATTTAACAGACTGACAAAATGAACAAGATTCAGGCTGGGAAGACATCTTCCCAGATTCAGAGTACAATGTAAATTTAACAAAAAAAATCCATGAATCCCTTCCCCTAACGCTGACACATTCAAGTACTTGACTGAGAAAACATTTATCTTTTAATTTATTTATATTATATCTAGACAATTTTATTGAGGTGGGGGTGGGGCGGGGGTGGGGGGTTTGACTTTAAACACAAAATAGTCAGACAAAAAATTTAATGTATGGTGAATAAAATTTTTATAATGAGGTAAATCTAATTGACCTTCATAAAAGGTCAAGGTTAAATAACAACACTAACAATGGTTTATAACACTTTTTTTTTGGTGCCCAAATTTTATTTTTAAAAGGGTTATATTGAATTAGCTTTTTCCCCCTACAAATAAAAGGGTTTTTTTAAAACGTGCCCTTTTTCCCCTTTTTTTCAGGGGGCCCCAAAGAAAATTTGGGGTTTTTTTTTTTTCTAAAATATTTCCCCTTTGTTTATTTCCAGAAGTTCATTAATTTTTGAAATTTTTGTTTAAATTCCAAAAAATTTTTTCTGAAAATTGGATGTTTTACACTCCCCTTAATTTTTTGTTTTTCTAAATCGTATAAACTTTTGAAGACGCGGGTTTTTTTAATTTTTAAAAGGATTGTGTTTTAAAAATTTTTATTTTTTAAACTCTTCCAAATTTTTGGGAAAAATGTTCAGAAATAAATTTTAAACCCTTTTTCCCCCAAAACTAATAAAAAAAAGGTCTTGTGAATGCCCCCTTTCCAAATTTTATTTAATAAAAAATTATCGGGGAAAAAGTCCCCCTAAAATTGTACACTCATTTTTAAGCCCAAATTTTTTAAAATGTAAAATTTATATTTTATCCCCATAATAAAATTTTTTGGGAAAAACATTTTTTTAAATTTTTTTAAAAGGCCACATCAAAAGTAGATTAAAAGCCGTCGTAGATTTTTAACTAACCTCTGGCTCATTGTTTTTTGTTTTTTGGAAAAACCAAAGATTTTTTGGCCCCTCGTTTTTCTGAAAATAGAAATATACTTTTAAATTTTTTGTTTAAAAATTTTAAAAAATAAAAATTAAATTTTTTAAAAATTTATTTTGACGTTTTTTTTTTTTTAAATTCTTTTTTTTTCTTTGTTTTTTTTTTCCAAAAATTTGAAAATTAAACTGCCCCCTAAAAAATATAAAAAAAAAGAATTTTAAAAAAACAACCAAAAAATGTTATACGGGAAATTTTTAAATGTTTTTGGCGAGGGGGAAAAATGTAATTTAAATGTTAAAACTTTTTAAGGGGCCCACGCCCTAAAAGTGCCCCCTTAACCTTTTTTTCCCAAGCAAAAAAACCTTTCTTAAGTAAGTTTGAAATATTTCCCTCACAGGGTAGATTTGCCCAAAAGTTCCAAACGGGAAAATTCTTCCCAAAAAGTTTGGGGGAGGGGCAATAGTTTAAAAAAGCCCCTCCCGGCCCCCCAAAACTATTCTTTTTTTGGTTCCCCCAAAGGCCAATTTTCCTATAAAAAGCTTTAAAACATTTTTTAAAGGGGCCTTAAAACACAATTTCCATACTTTTTTTCTTTTAACAAAAAACAAAAATATTTTAAATTTCCCCTTTGTGTGACCGGTCCCCTCATTTTCCCTTTCTCCAACCTGTGAAGCATTTTTGGCCTCTGCAGCAAACTGATACACAATAAGTAGGCAGTCCTTACAGAGTTGAACAATACGGCGGCAACAATTTAATTCAACCTCGTCAACGTTTTCTGAGCTCTTACTAAATATAGTTTCCCAACTGGCCGGATTTCTGTAATAAGTCATAGTTTTGAAAAAAATTTTATCAGCAAAATTCAAGGTAATTGTAGAGATATATGAAATGTACAAAAATAAAGACAAGAAAGAGGACACAATTATGGCCCCTTCGTATACTTTCCTGCATAATAATGTCGGATCCCTAACATGAAAGTTTTTCTCTCAATAAAATTCAAATGTGTTTAAATAAAGAGACAGAATAACCGAACATAACAAAACAAACATGCCCAATTCAAGTCAGATTTATAATTTTTTTTTAGGTTTAATCAAAATTAAATGTTTTTAAAAAGTTTTATTTTTAAAAATTCCCTAAAAAAAATTTTCGTAACTTAAGGGCCCCTTTAAATTTTCAAAAGGGGAAAAAACAAGTTTTTTTTTAACCCCCAAAATTCAACCCTTTTGAAGAAAAAAACCCAAGAAAAAGGGGAAAAAAAATTTTTTATGGGTTTCCCATAAAGGCAACTTTTATAAAAAAGATTTTGGGAAACCAAAACAAATATACTAACAAAAATTCCCCGGGAGGATGCAAAAAAAAAATTCCCCGGACCCCTTTTGCCCATAAAACCTCCCGGGAAACCCCCGGGGTTGAAAACTCGACCAAACTTTTGGGAAACAAGGGGGTTAAAGGGTTCCAACCCCTTTAACACCCCATTTTACGCGGGGTTAGTCCCGGTTCGAACTTTTTGGATTCAACAATGTCTATCAACCCGTTCAAACAAAGATTGAAAAATTCTGTCTTGCTTTAATGATATCTAAATAAAACAGTTATTGTGTTACAGGCAAATGGGTAAAATCTTTTATCATTACTTTGTTTTGACAACATACATAGTTTTGAATAGCAAAAACAGCCAGAGTATTGTGAACATAAATATAGGCATTACTTTTGAAAATTAGGCATTATGTCCATTTCTGAGGCACAATGTGCCTTTAATGGTCAAGATTAAAATAAAATTTTCTGTAAAAATGAAAAATTCCATCATTTAGTGAAACAATGTAAGATTTTGAGCTTATATATTGGATATATTGTACATGTATTTACATGACTGTATACTGATAAGATCAACATGAGTAGCCATAAAATATAAAAATTTTATTAACCCTTTGACACTGCCATAGGGACGGCATATGCTGTCCCTATTATTTTTGGCGTATTTGCCATATGGACCGCTTTTGCCGTTTCTATAATAATAATAATAATTATAATAATAATAATAATTATAATAATAATAATAATAAATATAGAGATAATTATACCATTGACAATAATTATTATATACTAGCAGATTTGGAAACTAATACTAATAACAAATAATAATAATTATATTAATTAATAATATACCGGTAGTCATTTCTTAGAAACCTTCTGGCAAATAGGTGATCAATAAATAAATAACCCTCTGGCAGCGAAAGGGTTAAACAAGTTCAAGAAATTTATTTAAATCCTGCCATTGGTGACCTTGACATTTCCTTGGCAATTTTATTAGAGTTCTATATTATATGACAACCAATGTTATATTCTTTTTTCACATGACTTAATTCATTGAAATTCACTAAGCAAACCAACTTGTTTTGACATTTCATGCGTACTTTGGAATTCCGCTTTTCATGAATATTGAGGTAAAAATGTCAAAGCATTATTACATTACATGGAAAAGAAGCAAAATTGTCATGTGAAAGAAATATATATATGCCTTTTTGGATAGACAGAAAACATAAAAACATCATTATTTTACACTTTACCTTTCTTCGTTTAATTGAATCCAGTTTAACTAACCAATATGAGGCAATTCTAGGCTTGTGGAACTTCCAATTTTCATATAACTGTAACATTAGAAAATATTCATACTTTAAAATTTATTGAAATCTATGAAATTCTTACTGAATATGTCTATTTTGAATTAAACAATATAAAAAATATGTATCGAAGCTGCATTCCCCAACTTATAGGTCACGTGAAGTTGATCCTTTCTTAAAAAAGTGCCGCTTTTTGAATAAAAACATGTTTATTCATATTTACAAAGAGAAAGTGTAGTAATTTTCTGTCACATATATTTTCAAATATCAAATTTGAGCATGATATAAATTATCTTTTATACATAACAAAAGGTCAAATCAACATGATTATAAACATATATTACTGTCTGTATTCAGTCAGGACCTCATTTTAAAAATTTTTCTACAAATGATGAAAGATTTTGTCTAGATTGAAAGATGGACAAGTCCATTTCAGATATTTAACATTACAAAGGTTAAATAACAAAAGGAAGTTTACGTACTTTATCAAGAATAGTGTCCGCCTCCTGGTCAGATTTACCGGGAAATTTGATTCTCATATCATTGAGGGCCTGTAACGTCCTGCGTACTAGCTCCTCCTCTCTCTCGCGTATAACATTCACCAAAAAATTGTCATCCTACAAAATAAACAAAATATTGAAATTGACAGTATTTCCTGTTCATACAATATATTTAACAAATGCAATGAACATGTATCAAAGAATTAAATACCAATTCAAAATTTGAAATGAATAACTGCACAGTAAAATGTATCAGTTTTGGATATGTTTTCAGGAAAGAATCTTAATCAAACAGGGGTAGTGCTTAAAAGCATCAGTATAAATAGGACATTAATTGTTTCAGTGCTATGAACGAAATTTTAAATAAATGAAAGGGTTTTCAATGAAATGCTACTACATACAACTTTGTCTATATAAGTAACATCAATCTTTAATGAATATGTCATATACCACATTTGATCTTTGTATATTTGTAAGTTTCTGTCCTCCAGCTTGTCGGGATCGTGTCTGATTCGGTCCAACACTGCCGATTGGTCTACCACCTGGTTGTACTAATCCTGAGTTAGGCCGTGACCCCATTCCGTTCGGTGTTCTGCTAGCACTGATTCTACTGTTAACAGACGCAGGTCGTGACATTGTTCCTCTGTTATAAGGAGTACTAGGTGGCGAGGCTGATTCACTTTCCTCATCGTCTTCTTCACGGTCTGTCCCTCGGAACTGCTCTGATGATGGCATACTGGCCAATGGCTATATTAGAAAAGAAATTATTTATATTCTAATTTATATTTCAAAAGAGTTTGCAAATAAATATCAAGACTGTTATATAAAGCATTAAAGCAGCATTTTTTATCTTTGATCAATAAGGGGGTTTGGTGATCTAGTTATAAAAGTTTTCACCTCTCACCCCAGGAATAGGGGGTCCTAGTGGCTCTACTTTGAACACAACAATGTTAAACTATGCTCATATGATGCAGTTAATCGTTCGAAAGCAACTTGTAGGAACTTGTTTTACTGTCAAGATAAATCAAGTAATATACATGTTTAAAGTAATACCTTTGGTCCTCTGGATCCTGTCATAGGTTTACCCTCAAAGTTCATTTTACCCTGCTGCTCATCTGCTTCACAATCTGCTATCATATCCAAAATATCAGTTTCCTACAATGTAAAATATTACAATCTGCTACCATATCCAAAATAAATCAGATTCTAATGAATTTCAACCCTTTAATTATTGAAAGTGGCAATAAAAATATTCCCTATGCCACCATTATAGAGCAAGCTTTATATTTGTGCAATTTGATCAGCAACCAAATTGCAAACTACCAAGACATCTGTGCTGTCTCATCAAAGTCTTTTTATAAATTTTCCCTTAAACTGTGTAGTGGTGTTGGTAGCTTTCACTCCGAATCACAGCAGAAAGTCACATTGAATTTACCAGAGCACACTAATCAGCCACCGCATTGTTCCTGGGCAGGCTGTCATTTAACAAGTGCTAGTTGCCTTCACTTTCATAAGGTACTGATTACTTCTGTACATGCAAGGGCAGAGCTACAGTGTGAATGACCGTAGAAAGGATTTCATGATCAATTACAACAAAAAGTGATCTGCGCCGTTCGGGAATCGAACCCAGGTCGCCCAATTCACAACGCTCTACCTATTGAGCTAACCTTATGGCTTTTCCCTAAAACTGATAAATGGTTTTGACCAGATTGAAAGATGGACAAGTCCATTTCAGATATTAAGCATGATTAGGGTTAATCAATACAAGTATGGCATCTACCTTGAGTTTATTATTATAGATGAGCTGTATTTCTTTATGCATAGATGTAGCCCTGCCAGACATGAATGTTGTATAGGCAGCCTCCAGTAGATGTATGTATTTCTCTTGTTTTGGTTTATCTTCGCACGGAAATATTCTAATAAAACGTCCACGATTCCTGTTTTCATATTCTTCTCTCGCACCAGCTTTCTTAACTCTCGCCAACAACTCTTTCTATATACAAAAAAAAGTATGTATAATTAAGCAATGACACATGTTATGGAATATGAAAAAAATCGTCTTCATTATAGACCATTATGCAGAAAGCAGTTGTTGCTAAAATGGATACGCAGGTAAATTTCTTATTTCTTTCAACCAATTTTCTTTATGATAATCATAGTTATAATTGTGCTTAAAATGAGCACCCTGATAGATATGTTGGAAATACAAGGCATCTTCTTTAAGAATAACCACAAGGTCAGTCCCATGTTGGTCAGGTAAGAAAACTTAACATTTTAGTTAGAAAATTCTGGGACACTTTCATCATGATTTATTGGGAGTTTAAGCATTTGTCACATGACAAGCTCTCAACTATATTACAAAATACAGATGTCAGGCACTACAGATATTAATTAACCATTAGAACTGAGGAGAAAAAATTTAAAAAAATTAACTTTTGTCATTTTACATATTCATAAAATAAAATCAGTGATTTTGTCTGCACCTTACTTTGAATTCAAAAAACCTATTCACTTTCAAAATGGCTTTTCTATCTCTTTTTAAATGGAAAAAACATTACAAATATATAGATAGTAAAAGGCCAACTTTATCTCTCAGAAATTAAAACAGTTTTTTGTTTTTAAAATATCTTTTCATACAACAGTATTATAAACTGACCAATTCATCTTTTCTTCTTTCAATACTTGCACGTTTTTTATCATACTCGGTCATGTGCTCCGTGTCTGATACACGCTTCGATGGCCTGAAAAGTCGTTTCTGAGCTTCTAGTTTTTGAGCCGTCATATTTTTCTTTTTGTCGCTCATTCTGAATCATAAAAGCATACATCATTTTTAACCCAAACATATATCACTTATAACCCAAACCTACATCACTTATAACCCAAACATATATCATTTACAAGCCAAACATATATATATTTATAACCAAAACATATATCACTTATAACCCAAACTTAAATCACTTATAATACAAACATATATCTCATACAAATCTCAGATAGACTGACAGCTGAGATATGACCAATAATGTGCTAAAAATGGCATAAAAATGGAAGAAACAAACCATAGCTTTGTTCATTTTAAAACTTTGTTCACACAATGAGAGGAGTGCACGTTTAAAACATAAGAAGGTTACAAGAAACTTACTTGATATTCAACAGTCTGATGGTATCTTCTATCAATGCTGACTTGATGTCAAAGTCAATCTTTTCATCTGTACCAAAACTTGGTGATCTATTAATCTTTAATTTAAATTATATGCACATATCAATTATATTTTTTTTCATAAATAGAGATTTCCTGAAGAACTTTTACTGAAGGCAAGTGAAACTTTGTACTGATTGAAAAATATTGTCAGTTAATTATGGTGTAACCTCTCTCTGTTATTAAAGGCCCATTATGCATCAAAAATGCTTCTTTTTTTCATTTCTCAAAAGCTTGTTATTTTGGGTGACCAAAGGGCTATTTGTTGGCCAATTGCCTGAACCTTTTTTTTTTTCAGTTAGTACAGTCATAGTTATTTAGTATTTTGTATTTAAGTCAAAATAATACTTTGTTTACAATATGCCACTTTTATGACAAATTATTTAGCATTTAGCCCTACTTTCTTCAAGTAATAAGCATCTAACATGGTTTTAAAGCCATTATTTAAAATGTAATATTAGTTCATTTTCTCCCTTTCTAAAGAAGTAAAAAATATTCATTTCTGATGCATATTGTGCCTTTAAAGTGTGATTTTAATATACATGTATAACCGGCTACTATTTTAAACAATTTGAAATAAATTAGGTCAAACTGATCCTGTTCTGCAAGAATTTTTTTAATTTAAGAAAGGCATTAACTGTTAATATTTTTATTTGTTCACCATGATAAAAGTTAAATGAATTTATTTTACAAATCTAGCAGATATATTTACTATTATGAAACTTGCTTTACCTCAAGTAACCAAGGCCTTAATTTTCTGTCAATGAGCACATCAAATCCGAGCACCTCAAAACACACACTATCACTGACTGCAGGTGCCCCTGGCCGACACATTCTGTACGCGTGTAAAATATGGGGCTCCGCTACAATCATAGTCTTTACTATCATGTCACTTATATTTCGCCACAATAATGCAACATCGTAGTCATTCCGACGAAGATATTCGTTAAATGACTTAATAGATCTTTTGCTTCCTGCGTCCAGACTGGCCCCTTTTTCGTAGAACTCGTTGTGTTTATTTACAGAATAGTTTGTTAAATGCATAAACAGGTGACTCTGAAAAAAATAAAATGACATGGTATTGATCAATAATTGCTAACTGGATGTTGTACAAATAAATCATAACTTTAGATAGTATAGTTTGCAAAAGTAGTTCTTGTCAAAATATTGCTGTGTAACAAACAACCAATTTTCGATTGCATCATAGGCTGACAGCAATGCAAACCAGACTGTTTGATATTTTAAGTCTAGCACTTAATCAAAATCTGTTAAACTTATAATGAACTGTTCTTAATTAAAAGCATGACAAGTCTATTATTTCAATCTAGTATGTTAAAGTGAATTGGTCTATAATGGAAAGACTGTAATAGTGACAATGAATAATTATAGTGACAGTATTTAGTATTTTCTATTTAAACTAAATACTGTCAACATAATTATTCATTATAGATTGCTATTCATCGATATCAGTATATTTTTGAAATTTCCGCTGAAAATCAAGGTTTTGTCCGGATTCCTGTATGAAATTTGGCACAGATTCTGGGCGTAAATGGCACTGAATTGGGGCAGAATCACTGTTTCTGGGTTGACATTAAACGGAAAAGCAAAGTCTGTATCAGTCCGCCAAATACAGAAAATTATTTCTTTAAAATTGTTGGAACCATAACCAGGCTGAATTTAATTACGGGTGAAATTTTGTACTTAGACTGTAAAAGATGGACAAGGCCGTTTAAGATATTTAGTGTGGATTAAAATAGACCTTGAATACTTACTATGTTATTTTCAGAAGGTGGTAGATATTTCTCTGTACTTAATCTGACAAGGCCATCATTAAATAGGAACACCCTAAGTGGATCACATGACGTTACCAAAACATAAATTCTTAAATCAAACTTATATCCATCCATTAACAATGGCTTCTCAACATATTCTTGAACAATGAAGTGTTCCTGAGCTGGAATCTTCTCTAGGTTTTTATACAAGCTGATCCTGAAATAAAGAAAGAAAAATATTAAAATTATATATTATCCTTAAAGGCACATTATCCCTCAGAACAGCTTTTATTTTTATTTCTTAAAACCTTATGTTACATGCTCTAAAACCAGTATTTCACCATTATAAAACTCTGGTCAAATACAAATTTTTGTTGTTGTTTGATGTTGAAATTACAAGTGCAGTATAACAAAATTGTTAAATATATAGATTTTTGGCGGGTTATATGGTTTATATGTCAATATACAGTTGTTTGCCATGGAAACATATATACTGGGCAATTATTATAATGAACTTATCAAAAAAAAAAGTAATTATGGTAATAATAAATAACTTTCTTACCCATGACCTTGGGCACCATTTGATGGCTTTACAATAAATGTTTTTGACTTTTTATGAGCTTTCAAATCTTTCATGTAATTCTGAATAATGTTGTAGTCGGATGGTAAAATCCATGTGCGAGGTACAAAGTTGTATTCTTCTGGTTTTGCCTTGGCCATTCTGAAAACATTAATCATAATTATATAAACTCAAGGGGTGGAAAAATCAATTGTCTGTATTGCCAAGGTTGTCCGACACACAGCCTATACGTTCAAATGAAATTTTATTCCTGTTTTGAAAGAATATTTGCAAACTTAGTATATATTGTTAACTGTAACATGTAAAATAATATTTTGAGAAATATATATCTTTTATATGTCTAAAATTCTTAAGAAATACCTTATTTTTTTTAAATACCATGGCTATAAAAGAATAAATCAAAAATACATTAAAGGCATTCCACTGAGGTCCAAAACCTATAGAAAATAATTTGTTGCAAAGATCTGAACTGGGGCATTTAATACAGAAAGATAATTATGCAGAAGATAATTAAGAAATATACTAAGAAACAAATAAAACATCCTATTTTAGTGCTATTCTTAGCCTAGTTTGAGTGAAAAGCATTGCAACGTTTTTCAATTTTGGTCATTTTTCACAATTAGAATAATTATTCTGGAGTAAACAAATGATCTGAAACTTTGCACACAAGTAATTGATCTAGACCTTCAGCAAATGGAATATTTATCTTGAAAAATTATGTCCAGTTCCATCATGTCAAAAAACTTCAGTGGAGTCCCTTTAAAATCAACACAATCTCTTACTTCATCATGTTGCGAGCCAAATTGTCTTTGCGAGTCACCTCACCCATGCCAGGGAAATGATTTATCCTCTGATAAGGCTTCAAATCAGATATCTTCTCTGTTGATACAAATGCATCATTCCATAATAAGAAACTGTAAGTAAACACACAACAATATAATGTACAAAATTTTATCTATAATTTTAAAATATACACATATTGTAATATCGTGAATCATTTACTGAGTTTCGAATTGTCTATGTGTTGACAAGCATAAATGAATCAAATTTAATCTTTTCATACTTTATTATTCATCACACATATTTAACTTCTTAGACAAAGTAAAATTTTTGATGGATCTTACATTTGTGGATTGACCTATTCACAAAACCTACAACTAACTAGTAGTCTGGTGTCATGACCTCAGTAGAATTTGTGGGATAGAGTCATTCGCAATCTCTTTCCTTTATAACTAAGTGAGCCGCAACATGACAAAACCAGCATAGTGGGCTTGAGACCAGCATGGACTTTCAAATTTAACAAGAGCTGTCTGTAGGACAGCACGCTCGACTATTCTAAGTGCTTGATAGTAAAAGAGCCTTGATAATGTTAAATTTTTTAAGTTCACAAAAGGGCTATTTTTTTTTTATAAATTCATGTTATAGGTCTTAGAGAGAGTCTAATTATACAGAATTGGCTTGACTATTTGGAAGGTAATGTCACAAGGGTTTTGCAATTTTGCAAACTGATGTACATTGTTATTATAAATAAGAATTTTAAATTTCAATTGAATATCTCAAGCAATAATTGAGATATTTGACTTTACAAAAAACTTTAACCAAAATTTCTAAGTTAAAAAGGGGCATAATTCTGTCAATATTGTAGGCAGAGTTATCCAACTTGTCAATCTGATGTACCTTGTTACTATAAATAAGTATTGTAAGTTTCAATTGAATATCTCAAGTAATAATTGAGATATTTGACTTTACAAAAAACTTTAACCAACGCAGACGCCGACGCGGACGCCGACGCCGACGCCGGGGCGACTACAATAGCTCTCATATTCTTCGAATAGTCGAGCTAAAAATGTACAGGAGAAGGGTCTAATAATGAATTATTTTAGAGGTGGCCATTCATTTCTGTATAAACAATTACCTTTCTGTAATGTTACAAAAACTTAAGTTACTTACGATGTTGGGTCGTCATCTTTGGCAACACTGAAGCCAATATGTTCTACCATCTGGCGGACTGAAAGGGAGACAAATGTATATCTTGTAAGTACATGTATATCTAAATTAACATTTCTGGTTATAGTACTGGTAATTATCCAATCATCCACTTACTGAATAGTTTTAAGTGCATGTAAACATGTATATGAAAACTTTATATAAAATTTACAATATTTTCTAAGCATCTGCTGCACCTTTGAAAATAATTGCCGAAAGTCATAAAGAATAACTATAATTTCAGAATCTTGAATATTTACAATGATTTTAGAGTTTGAGAATCATAATATTTACAAAAATTCTAGAAGTTGACAATCTTAGATGTTAACAATAATTTTAATGATGTTAGAATTTTCAAATCTGAAAACATTAACAATTATTTTAAAATTTTAGAATCTTAGGCATTTACAGTATCAGATAATTTCAATGATTTAAGAATTTGAGAATTTTAAAAATTTACAAAAAAATAATAATAATAGAATTTGAGCATCTTAGACAAATTATTCAATATTTTCAATAACTTTAAAATTTGAGAATATTAAACAGTTATAATTTTTTTTAAAGTTTGAGAATCTAAAACAACTGTTACAAATATTTTAGACATTTACAATAATTTCAGAATTTGTGAATCTTAAACAGTAACATATTTCTAGAATTTGAGAATCTCAGACATTTACAATTATTTCAATAATTTTAGAAATTGAGAATCTTATACATTTACAATCATTTAAATAATTTTAGAATTTAGAACCATATTATATAAACCCTTAACCTGCTGGAACCAAAAGTGATCAGCCTTTGCCACCAGTCAAGAGCCAGACCAGCCTACACTACCATGCAATCTGACATAGCTCAATACTGTTGGCTGACCAACTAAAATTTTCATTTTTATACTCCAAAATTAAAATTGATACTCCAGGACAGTTCCAACAAGAGTGATCAGTGACCACATGTGTCACCTGATGACAGCCAATTAAGCAGTTGTATTGAGGGGTGATTGAAAAATTTGTTCCCTATTTGTTGCATCTTCTTTCTAGCATGTAGCAGCTACTGTGTAGCAGGAGACACAAAATCAATATCAACCCAAAACACCCTTTTAATTCAATGACCATAACTCAGCTTAAAATCATCCAACCAAAAAAACATGTTAAATATGCACAAGTACTTGAGGTACTGATCAATCCTGTTATATTTCATTCAAATTGCATTAGGATAGAACAAAAGTAGTTTGGACAAACTAAATAAAATAGAAATCATTAATGGGCCATAACTCTGGTAAAATCATGTAGTACTCTGTAGCTGGTGACACAAACATGAAAGTTAAATAAGTCCATTTAAGGAAATTCAGCAAGTTAATGATTAAGTATTTTCCTAATTTTAAAATAAATATCACCAGGAGAAACTTCAACTTTTAAAGGCCCATTATGTCTTAGAAATGCTATAATTTCCATTTCTCAAAAACTTTTATACTCATTTGCCAAATACATATTTAAACTATCCTTTGCTTATTTTGCTCTGTTGGCAATTTGTATATTTAGTGAATTAGGTTTTTGTATGGAAGTCAAAATATTTATTTGTTTACATGTTGCAATCTTTTTGACACTTCTTTTATTTAGCTTTATTTAGTTGTTGAATATCTTACATGCTATTAATCCATTATTAAAACATTATTAAACACATGTTTGGCATTTCTAAAGATTTAAAGAAAATATGGATTTCTAAGGCATAATTTGCCTTTAAGTTTATAAAATCTTGAAAGGCTTTTGCTAATTTTTTACATTTCTTAAAAGCTATTAATATTTGATGTTTAGATACAGTTTCTGAAAAGTATTTATTTGGCCATAAATCTGAACAATCTTTTACATTTGGTCATTTTATTAATGTTATAGCGGTTTAATATTTTGTTTACAAAACAACAGACCACTTTGTTTATGTCTTGCTACTTTAATGACAAATTTATTCACATTCAATGCTGCATTGTTCACATGACTGGCATATAACATGTTCTAAACCTATTATTAATTCATTATGTCACAATATAAAGCTTGCCTAAATCTCTGGACAGAAAAAAAACACTTATATATTACTTTCTATAGCTTAATGTGCCTTTAAATTACTTTATAAACAAGAAACTGCTTGTTCATGAAATGTAATAGGGGTACTATTGATTATAAATACATGTACATTAAACTTTTGATAAAAATAGAGTATAAATATCAACAATCAGAATTTTTCTTTTAATATGTCAAACAATTTTTTTTTTAAATGTGAAGTTTCAAAGTTTACTTAACAATTATTTTCAGTTTTCAACATATATGTTAATGCATCTAGTGCATACAGACTTACGTAATATAATTGAAGTACAAATGAATCGTATTAAATTATGTGTACTGAAATTAACCCAATTTATGATACAATAAGTGTTTGAACTGAATGTTACCACAACAATCTTCACATCTTACTATACACATGTCTTGGCTGCTAAAATTGGGTACAGAAATCCCTTAAATTAACAATGGACTACTCTAAATTTGAAGCAGGACCAGTTCATTCTCAAATTCATTTTGACATAAAGATTTAATATTTATTATAGTAACTGATTACTTACTGACTTCATATCTTGTACCACTTAAATTGGCAGTGATCATATTTTTACGTTTTTTCCGCTTTGCCTTTGGCTGATTTCTAAGACGTCTCTCTTCATCATTATCTACCCTTTCCATATTAACATCATTCTGACGAGGACGGTTCTCAGCCCGCATATGTGACTGGTACCCGGACATAGGTCCAGCAGGACCTAGCACCATGTTTGCAGCGGTACGATGAGCGAAATGAGAATGCAATGATGAGAGAGAAATATCTGAAAATAAAACAGATCATTACATAACAATGACAGCACAAAGTAAAAGATTATATATACAAAAACAACACTCTTCTTCTCTGCTTTTATTCCCAATGTAATCAATGGAATAAAGTTAATTGAGCTTCAATTACCTCTTTCAAGATGATAATAATAATAAAAGTGATAATACTAATGAAAATAATAATAATAAAAGTGATGATAATAATAATAATAATATAATAATAATAATAAAAGTGATAATCATAATAATAATAATAAATAAAGTGATAATAATAATGATAATAATAATAATAATAATAATAATAATAGTAATATTAGTAGCTCATGTAATAATAATAGTAACAATAATTTATGCGTAAAATGGATTAACAAAGACAGGTTTGGATAGATTTCAATAATTAACCTGGTATGAAATTATGGGTTACATACAGTGATACTGTTACAACTAACTGTTTCAAAATGTTCAATTTGCATTATGAAATATAAAACATAACATCAATCTAGTCATTCATTATGCATTCATATACTGCTTTTATTTTCAGAGTTAATCTTATAAATCACGCTATTTTCTTTTCACTTTTACACTGTTTCTTTTTATAGATTTGCAATTTTGCATATAACATATCAATTACAATACTGGTTAAAGTTAAGGTGTAATTAAGACCACATTAAGACCCGAGAGCGGAAAACATTCAATTATCTACAGAACAATGGGTCATACTTTTCTCTACTTAAATAAGTCAGTAAATAATTTAAATGCCATTAAAAAATAAACTAAAGTATCAACTATCAATACTTGACAATGGGCTGAAGGGCTTACAGTTCTATTAAGGTCAATTACTTTTTGTTCCTACTTAGTTTACTTTGACACAAATAAAAAAGTCATTGAACAAATTTTTTTTTTTGCTATATTTTTTGCCAACAATTCTAAAAAAGAATATTTAAAAAAAAAAACCACAGCAAAAAATGTCTCCTGCTACTAAATATAACACAACTGAGATCAAAGGCCCCCTTTCATGCATAAAAGTAACCTTGATTGCTTAAATTTGTCAAACAAAATTAGATAAGAAACTACTCATAGATATATCAGATTTAATCAAGTGTTTTTATCTAACTGTTGCATACCATAAGGGTTATCAGTCTTCGTGAAATCAATTAAACCTATATAGAAACAACAAAACATGAAAGACAATAATCATTTTACTGTATCTTATCATAAATTTATTCCCCTTATCCTAACTGGAGTCCTTTTAGCTTGAATTTAACAAAATTTGCAACAGACAAATTTAAGAAGTCTGAGTGTGTTAATTAAAGCTGTCAGAGCCAATTAAAATCTAAGAAACTTTTATTTAAGATCTAATATCAATTAAATATTATTGCCTAATATCATAATTCAACTTTCAATTTACGAAAAAATCATGATTTTTAGGGAATATTTCAAAACAAGTACTGATTGAATAGTGAACAGTATAGACCATTTCTTACAGTAAATAAAAATCTAGTCAAAGAAATTAAAAAATCTTATAATTAATCATCAAATACATATCTAAGAGAAAATTAAAACACCCAAAGTCTATGACAAAGATGTAGCCTGTTAGCACCCCATCTGATCATGGTCTGTACTGTTTGCTAATCAGTCAGTTCATATTTTGAAACTCAAATTCCATAAAAATGGTGAATGATTGGTAAGAATAAAAGATGGACAAGTTCATTTAAGATATTTTATGTGGTAAGGTTTAAAGATATCATTAATGAAACATTTCAGCATCAATAACTGATCTTAATTAAGTATAAATGCTCAGTGTGAATTAAAGATTAAAGACCTTACAGTGAATCAATTGATTTCCTTCTATCAGTTGTTTTGAAACTTAATTAGATCAAGATAACCTTTCTAATGCACCAGTCATTTGAGATACAGGTGGAAGAGAGAGTGGACAGGGGGGCAGAGGATGGAGGTAGGGTCTTGTGGAATGCTTGGAATTCGACGACTTGGTTTATAGAGAATAGACAGGGGAGGGGGCAAAGTATGGGGGTGGGTTGTTGTGGGATGCTGGGAATTCATGCAATGACCTTTAATGGTTTCATAGTTTAACAGTAAAACATATCATATACAAGCAGGAAAAATCAAAACAAGTAAAAACGTATGTTGTACTGACCTACCAACCCGTTTCTCAACAAGTTAGAATTCCACTGCTCCAAATCAATCATTTGAAATGGCAGGAAAAGATAATTGGAAGTAATTTAAGACTTAAACTCAATAGCCTGAGGGTAGCAACTGATTCTACCAATTTGAGCAGTGTAGACCAAGATCAGCGGGCACATCAATGCTGTCTGATCAGGGGCTGCACTGTTCACTATTCAGTCAGTACTTATTTTAGAATTGTGCCCTGAAAACGATGGATGGTTTTGTACAGGTTTAAGATAATAAATTATAGCTTGGTAAGATTAAAAGATTTTTTTTAGAAATCAAAATGTAAAACTGACCGTCATTATTTGCTCCTTTATCCATTGATGCTAGAGATGATACCGATGTACTGTGTTTTAAACTTGTTGACATTCTCCTCTTCTAGTTGTACCAAGTTTTATATAGCACCATGTATGCTTGCCTTACTTAACTGTTTCATATGTGACTTATCCATCTAATGATTCACAAGATTTATACTGAAAATAATATCAATATAGCAAATTAGAAAAATTAATCTATTCAACTTTTACCTACAGCACTATATATATGTCTAGGTCCCCAAAAACCAACAAAACAGAGTTAAAATTCAATTTTAAAACTAACAAGTAAATATCAGTACAATATGCATTATCCTTTGAGTAAAATTGTAATATAAGTCTAATTAAATTACAGTTAAACATGTGTGTCAATTGGTTTGTAGATGCATCAAGTATCAGGTGTGTTGTGTGCTTGTTTCACCTTCCGCTTTCAGCCTCTGCCGCTAACTTAAACCAAATGCAAAATGAAAGCAGATTGTGTGAATCCCTGCCAGTACAAGCCCTTTGTAGTGCCTCCTTGTGACGACACACATCAACTGAGTATCTCACGGTCTCAGGCTGAACTACAGGGGACTCGGAGGTGGTCTGCCCCTGGACGTGCATGCATGTCTGGCCCACCAGCGTGTGGACAAGCCCTGATGCCCATGAACAGGCCACCCAGCTAAAGGTAAATAGCTCCACTGCCTTGTGTATGCCTCGGGAGAGGCTAAGGGAGAAGACCCTGACAGAAAACAACGACCCTTGTGCTTCCAAGGAAGGTTCTTTAGCCAGAAGCTAAGGGTTGGGAATCCCCTACAGAAAACCTAGACAGCTGAATTCAGCATTACTTAAGTAAGGCCAAATGGCGCTCTCTAACAAACCACGGTGATATGCATCTATGCCATGACTACACGTTCATCAACAACATATAGACATTGTAGAAGGGCAAATGACAAGAAGAAGAAGACAGTTAAACAAATGTCATATACCAACATGATTAAAATACATCACAATCAGTTTATTTGGGCCACTGAACTGCATATCCATGTCTTTGTCTTTCAGGAATCTTGTAAATTTATGTCATTTAAGATTCCCGGTATAATCAAAACACTATTTTTAGTATTTTATCTATATGAGAGTTGGTCTCTAAGTTAAGGTTTCTGCCTCTCAACCAAAAGACTGTGGACCTCAAGCCAGTCAGTTCACATTATGTTTCCTCTTACATACATGTAACAATGCACTAGCACTGGTTATAAATTACAAACTAATTAGCTCTTAAGGAAGCGGACTTGAAAGTGATAAATAATACATATATATGTTGCAATAACTTGTTTCACAATCAAGCTCAGACAATATATAAAGTATAATGATACACTTTCTTTCAAATTTCAGATAATTGATTTGTCTAAAATCAGAAGTGGTTGATTGATTTTCTTTAGACCTGGCGGTCAAGGATAACCTAGCTACGAAAGTGCAAGCACTTATTTCCAGTAGGGTCCTTACCTCAACAGACTCTAGAGACAGCTATGAGATACAAGGGAGTCCGGGAACCAGTTCCTAGCTCTTATTGAATAGATCCCTTGGTTCTTTTACATGCCCAGAGTAAAGCACTGAGGATTACCTGGGTTTCTTAAATTACCAGTAAACATCATATTAGGTAGGTGGGAAACACTGAAAGTGTCTCTGAAAAGTCCTAAGGGTGTTACCCAGGATCTAACCCTGAACCTCAGGAGTGACAGTCAGTGGTCTAACCAACTGAGCTTTCACGCCACCTAGTCATTCAACAAAAATTTAATTTTAATACCAATTACATGTAGATGTCATGGTCACTAATTGAATACATGCTTTTTAGGGATCAATTCAACAAGATTAATCAAAATAAGGTTTTAGAATATGTATTATAAGTTTATGTATTATATATTTTTAAGATGTATGACCTCTTTTAATCAAACAATGTACAAAAGTATTTTGTCCAGAAACTGGGTTTGCCTAAAACTGTAAAAGAGTGTGCTAACATAACCCGGCCAGTTCAGTTAGAATATTAGAAATGTGAAACAGTTTAATAAAGAGTACATTCATGTACACACTTTGGGATCTATTTTTCGTTACATACATAGTATTCAATGTCAAACCTATTCAACTGTTTAAACAATTATAAAACAAAGTTATTTTTGTCAACAAATTGAAAGTCTATTACTAACGTTCCAATTCCGTGTGAGTGTGAAAATGAACTTTGCTTACCTTACCAAACGTATAAAGTGTTTACAGTTTTCGTTTATATTCCAATTTTTATATTGTAAGCCTGCAAATTGGATTAAAGTTTGTAAAATTAAACGTAAATTGAAACTAGCAGCCTAAGCAGGTACTTGTCATTACGGTAGCACGTCCGCCATGTTGTTTAGATCACGTGATAAACAATCTGCTTAGTTACGCTAATTGCCAGCAGGTGCGTGCAAAATTGGGTTTACCGGTGCATCGAAAGTTTTACTTGGCGCTTAATTTGTTTAATGTGCTCAGATAATATTGAAGAATTACATTAGCTGTATTGCAAATTGATCAAAATGGGGAATGTCATTCCAAGTATTTAAACGTTTGGTTGACTTATATTGATCTCAATTCTATTGTACGGTACAATTAATCAGAGACATAGATAACATGCATCGGCTCATTAAGCATTTAAAGGAAGATCCATTTATAAATGTCATATGTTATTGCAGCGCATACTTGTAAAATATTATACAAATGATAATTATATAACAAAAGGCAACAATTTCTAGCAACATTAGATTAAGCTCTTCCCCTATAGATAGATGTCATTTATAAATTTCTTCTAGGTTTTAACCGCAACTTTATCTTGCGTTTTTTTTAATGCATAGTTGCAGTTAGAAACATTGATTATATATATTTTAGACTTTTAGTAGCCCTGAACATTTATAACATTCTGCAGGATTATAAAAACCATCTTCGTATTTTTCTAATGCTTGCATTAAACTTGAAAGGTTACTTCCTTCCGCTAGGCGTTGGAAATGTCTACAACAGGTATCAATATTTGAATAATCCCCACCCCAAGGTCGACTGTGCTCTGGTGACTACTTACATTGTATTTCCCGTATTAACGGGAAAAATAACATTCTCGCATGTAATTTTCAAAAGATTTTCTGTACAAATTGTATTGTAATGGACCTTCCTATGGGTACTAAATGTGCACCCCTGGTCGCCGATTTGTTACTGTATTGCTATGAAAGGAACTTTTTGATGAGCCTCTTTCCAGATACACAACAATATTTTATTGGATCATTTAACAGCACGTCCCGATTGCTGATATTTTTCATTTGGACAATATTTACTTTCATCAAATGGTGTATAATACCTTTCTTATGGAACTTAAAACTTAATGAAACGAATTCTTGATATTTTACCACATCATTTTTGGGTCTTCATATTTCAGCCAATAACACTAATATTTACATGAAAATCTATGAGAGTTGATTTTGATTTTGGTAAAGCGAATTATCCACATTTCGATGGAAATGTACCTCATGCAACATTTTACGGGGTAAATGCATCTCAGTTAATTAGATTAGCCAGGGCTGGTATCCAAGTAAACGATTTTAACAAAGGGCTACCGCTGCATAAACTTCGGAAATATTTTACGAAATTTTATAATCGTAATTTCGATTTAATATCAAAATTCAATGACGATTTGAAAATTCTTCTGCGACTAGGGATTAGCAAGCCTGATTTTTATAACGATGCGAATTACAAACTGCACAAGATCTTGGGTCATGGTAAACTTTCTGTTGTCTTTACTAAAATAATTAAACGTTTTATTAAAGAAGTTATATGACTCTACTAAACTAACTTATTAAGACATACCGCATGCTTGGTGTTAACCATTTTAAATTTGGACACTACGCTTTCTTCTTTTTATTACATCTGACGGACCAAGTGGGAGACTATTTTGGGCAGTTCTAAAACTCATCGGGACTGAATTGTTTTAATTTCCATCTTCTGTCTTGCTTCGTCGGGCTCTTGTAGGTGATATTAATCATTGCTGCTCGGTCTTCCTTTGAGACAATGAGCTCTTTTGGTTTACTTTTTATTTGTATCTACATGATCATTTATGTGTTTTACTAATTCACCTTTTGGAACCAAAACAACATTTAGAATTTCGCTTGGCGGGGATTCGTTTTTATTTACATTGTCCCTTTTTGTTACTCAGATGTGTTTCTTGTTAATTGTTACATACAAAGATAACTATCATCCCTTTCACCATATTTCTTTTTAGAATTAATTTGGCCCCCAACCCACCGTCCTACTGACCCCTTCCATTCCACCCTTATCCTTTTGTAGTTCTTTTCATTAATTTTCATCTTGAATTACATTGCAGGTTTCTATGATATCTTTTTTTTTAAAAATGATTTATAATGACATCTAGTCCATTTTCTGTGTGTCATGTCCTGATTGGTGTTCTGCTAATTCCCTTACCAATGGTCTTGTGTTTGGGGAAGCTTACATTGAAGGATGCCCTTCCTTGTAGACCTATTTATATTTTACTGCCGTGATCCGGAGGGTAAACTACAACAAAAAATACCACTAATCCCCATGTCCACTGGCTTGGACATGAATGTCTAGTGGGAAAACTTTCAGTAGTGTCCAGTAGTTACAATAATCCTTTAATCATTTCTTAAAACTATTGCTCAAAAGCCCAGACCTCGTCACGCTTTATCATTATATACATGTAGCTGCATATTCTACATATAGAAAAGCCCTGTATTAAGTCCGAGGTTATTATTAATAATAGCCGAGATGTTCCGTTTGCTTTGAAATGTTGACGGTAAAGATAAAAATGGAAAATACATAACAAATATATATCAGTTTTCAATATGAATTGAATGGTTCTTTTTATTTGTTAAGAAATAACAGAAACACAAAAACAACAATAAAAATAACAACAACAACATAACAAAAAGAAAAATCAACAAAAACTCATAATTTCACTACATGTCTATATATTGAGTGCAGTTTCTTCCTTATACAAAACGTTGCCACTGTGTCTTCCAAAGTCACATTTCTGAAAACAAAAAGGATAAAAAATGTAAATAATTATAAATATCCGTTCAAAATGTGCGTTACGTAATTGTTTTCCTACTTTACTTATGTAGCAGCATCATGATAAATACAGTTAATGATATGCAAATATTTAGCATTAAAATATATATTGTTTCTTTACTTTACCTGGAAATTTAAGACGTTTTCAAGCATAACAGGGGTTTTATTTAGCAGGAAGATGCTAGCCTTTCATTTCAATCAAACCAAACTAGAATGTCTGTAAATTCATAAGTCACACTTAAATACTAGTTCATATCTTTGTAAAGATCGTCTTCTAGAACTACATACCAATCTATCTCTACTTAGGTGTTGTAAGCAGCACGGCGTCTTGCTGCGTCATAAAGCTGTACGTCTCTACGTGCCTTCACGCTCTTTTCTCTTAAAATATCATCCCGCATTAATTCTTGCCATCAACTCTTTTTCAGCGGCAAGTGTAGTGAACCTACAAAAACAACAGAAAATAAAGATTTCTGGGCAGGAAAATGTTTAATTAAGCATAAAATAATTAATTAGATTGCTATCTATAACAGCGGTCGAATTATTCCTCTTTTCTAGAGGACTTTACAAAGCATAGTCAATGACTCGACTTTTGCCAATCACTCGATTTATGTCATCGGCTCAACTTTTGCCAATCACTCGACTTATGTCATTTGTTCGACTTTGTCAATCACTCGACTTATGTCAATGGCTCGACTTTGTCAATCATTCGACTTATGTGGCTCGACATTTGCCAATCACTCGACATATGTCAATTGCTCGATTTTTGGCAATCACTCGACTTATCTCAATGGTTCGATGTTTGCCATTCACTTGACTTATATCAATAGCTTGATTTTTATATCAATAGCTTGATTTTTGCCAATCAGTCGACTTATGTCAATGGCTTGACTTTCGCCAATCACTCGACTTAGTACAATGATTCGACTTTTGCCAATCACTCGACTTATGTCACGCAGACTAACTTGATATCGGTATCTAAAGATTTTAGTGACTCATGTATCTTTGATAAAATGTAGACTTTTTAAAAAGTTAAATTAAACCATACAGTCATTTTTTAAATGTATAAAAGTGTATATAGGTATTAATTTTAAGTATCACATCTGCCAACAAATAGGTGTGATTCTTGGCATTGAACGGTATTCAAATATTTTTTTTTCATTCTGGTTATGATGGCTATATATTTTTTCACATACAAGTTGGGTCAGTAACAATGCAACTTTTGTTATCAGTCGTTTGTTGTTTTACCGATAATGTCAAACCAATTTTTAGAGACCTACACATGAAATTGTAATCCAGACAAATTCTTTGTGGACATCTGAACCAGTAATCTCAACAGTATCGGGTATCAATGAGCGATTAAAAATATGTTACTTTAAGATATAATTTAATTTGAAATATATCTACCTCCTCTTCGTTCTGGGTTGGGGTTACCGCCTCATCCAAACCGTCAGCCAATCTTGAAGGCATCCTGCTTGGGTCACCCGTGTTGAAATCAACAGTAAATGAAACACCTCCCTTTGTCAATTTTGACTCTTCGATTTCAGCTTAAGAAAGAGAAAATGAAGTGAATAAATTAGAATGATTAGCAAACATTCTTTATATGTAATGACGCTAATGAAAGACGAAATAGACAATTAAAATGCTGCTGCTGCTGCTGCTGCTGCTGCTGCTGCTGCTGCTGATGATGATGATGATGATGATGATGATAGAAACGTGAAAAATTTTCTTTATGTCCAAAGTAAATATGATAACTTAACTAAATCCTAGAATTAATATCAAATTATCATTATTATTTGTTCTACAATATTGTTATTATCATTCACTAGTATAAGTATGCTTACATTTTTTAATATTTATTAGGAACTGAATCAAAAAACGACATACCCTCTTGCAGCTGTTTTACCATATCCTCCGGGTTGATCGGGTCCGGTGCCTTTCGTCCTGGTGAATTCCTTGAATTTCTCTTTCGTATTTCCGCCTCCGAGTAAGAAGGAGAAACGCTGTTCTTTTTAATTTTACTCTTTACAAGACAACTGCCCATTTTGATATTTTTTATTATTTTTTATCTCACAAAATCGCTAATGTGTGTCAAAAACAGAAATGTTGCCGTATATTTACCGATCACATGAAACAACATTTTACGGTCATAGAAACAACGTCAATAGTACGTCATTACGTCATTAAGTCATATTAATTTGTTTTTGTTTTGCGCATTGTGTAATGTCATCCAGCTATTCATCTAAAGAAAATTACTAAGAATTACAATTCTTGCATAATACCTAACACACTATATACGAGTAAAATACAATATACAAGGAGAAATAACTATATAAGATACGGGCACTATTCTGCTATAAAAAAAACTAATTAAAAGACTACGGATACCATGCTTGAATCAATAGACTACTTTATTAACAACACAAACTCATTTAGTTGTATAATTAAAAAGGAAAACCTATTACATGTAAATTGTACATTTTGACATAATAGGTCGATTAAAACTTTTACAGCAAATATTCGCAAGCAAGTCTCGTCCAAGTTAAGAGTAAAGACATTACCTGGACAATCATTTGCTTCTGTTGTCTTTTGGCAATTATTACAGTTATAGTTATATAGTATTGTTACAGAAGTCAAAATACTACTTTGTCTTTTATGACTATTGAGCCGCGTCATGACAAAACTAACATAGTGCGTTTGCGACCAGCATGGATCCAGACCAGCCTGCGCATCCGCGCAGTCTGGTCAGGATCCATGCTGTTCGCTATCAGTTTCTTTACTTGTTAGAAAGCGAGCAGCATGGATCCTGATCAGACTGCACGGATGCGCAGGCTGGTCTGGATCCATGCTGCTCGCAAACCCATTATGTTGGTTTTGTCGTGACGCGGCTCAATTAATTTCATATTAAAGGGTAATTTCTTAAGGTTTTAAGTATCTAACATGCTCTAAAACTACAATTCAATGTTGCAAAAACCATGTTTGCCATTTCTAAGTAAGAAAATAAATTCGCTTCTGAGGCATAATGTACCTTGAAATTTAAATGAATAAAAAAAAATCCTGAAAATACTAGAATAAATAAAAAACATTTTTAGAACAATATCAGCTTCCAAAAAGTCCGAACATCGTGCACGATTTAAAAAATAATGGGGAACAATCTTTTTTTTCCTATTGTAAAACTGATGTGCACTTCAAATTGCTTCAATTAATAAGATTAAATGCACCGATGAGTGTTCAAGTGAACCTATCGAAGACAAATTTCTGCACACGATTGAAATAATTTCCAAGCGATCAGTTTTTAAGCCACGCTCTATAGCTAACCAATATCTGTTGCCAATAACAGTCATTTCTTTTTCCGAGTCATTTGGTTATTCCTCGAAGTTTCCTTAGCGTTCCTTGTAACATTAACGCTCCGTCGTCTGCTGGCAATCATTTCCAGCAATGTCGTCTGCTTCGGTGAATATGATGGGGCAACTATGGAGAAATTAAAAGTAATATAACAAGAGCGAGGACGAGACTTGTCACAATATCGGAGGTTTCTGACAATTGTAATTGATTAACCGATGTTAATCACATTTTACTATCACAGAAATTATTCAAAGTTTGGTTGTTATTTCATGTATTTCTTCACTTGACAATGTTGACTTTTTGATATAATTATTTCAAAGACACTTGTATGCGTCCAACTTTTTCAAAGAAAAGATGTTTTTATAAAGTATTTTAATAAGATATTTGAGGAAATATGTATGAGGTTTTGATTTATGAAACTTAAATTTTGTTGTCGATCTGAAAAATTGTTTGAAAAGCATTGATTTCTTAACAATTGCACCATTTTTGGAATCATAAGAGCATCATTTTCACAACGGCTCAGTTGACAGAAGGGGTGTGTAAACAAAATAATAAGACGTTATTAAAAAAGGATATTAAACATGTTTGACACAGTAAGCAATTTGAAACACATAACGGTAAAATATAAATATAGAAAACTAAGAAACAAACCTGATTATACCCCGCTTTGTTTCAATAAGACATTATTATAGCCTTTAATACGTGTACAAAAGAACAAAAGAATTATTAATTATGCTTTCACCTTTTTGACTTTACAGGAAAGAAAAAAATATATATAATATCATAATGAATTGTATCTATATTAGCGGCTAATATAAAGCAACATGGGGTGGAAACAATGTATCTGTAGGGAAGCAAACAAAACATATTTCAATAAGAAATCCCAGCACGACCTCCTTTCCAAATTATAAATACTGGATATCAAAGAGAAACCAGTCTACGCAAATAAGCTGAAGGATCGACTTAAAATGAAATGATAACTTTACTCTTGTTGTTATCGGCGATGTTCATTTCTTTTCCTCTACAGTTGCCATTTCCTTATTTGAGCTTAATATATCGGAACATTGATGTATTAATTTATGTTTCTAGGAGGCGGTGCTTCGTGAATTGCAAAGAATCTGTGATAAGCTGGCATGGTCAAGTCCCTCCCCTTCATGAACATAATTATATTGTGTTACTTTAAATGTATCTTGTTTCTTTTCAGAGCATTCCAAAGCGCTTGCCAAAGAATATATCCTCTTTCTTTACCAAATATTCCACACATAAAATTTTTACTGCCAATCTTGTAAAAAAATTGGGAAAAAAAATTCGAAGGCAAACATGCAGTTTGGAATGGATAAAGTTTTATCTTCTGGAATTCGGCATGCGCAGGATAGTTTTGAAACAGTCGACCGTACGGAAAATGTCTCTATAAATGAAACAAGGAAGGCGGAAAGATTTCCAAGAACTCCAAAATGTGCCAGATGTAGGAATCATGGTGTCGTATCAGCTCTGAAGGTAAGGTCACAGGTAAACATTTATTTTTTAAAATAAAATTATAATTATTATGTAGATCTTGTTTAGTAGCATATAAGCAAAAAACCCATTCCAGATACTATAACTATTATATTGAAGTTTAGTTTAGTTTAAACATGTTTATTTTAGCTCGATTGAGAAACAAGTTATTGCAACTTGCATTAATCACATTCGAGTTCGCTTCCTGGAACTAACCAGTACTGGTGTCATATGAAGAAACATGATAGTTAACCGAGTAGGGATTGAACCCATGCTTCCTCGATTGAGAGTCAAACACATTAACCACTAGGCAATCGCTATTAAAGTCAGCCCAATTTGGTGTTTTAAACTTTAAATTAATTTGAAGAAGGATAGGTTATCTAAAATTGTAATATTTTGGTTAAAACTAAAATGTCAATTTACCAAGATGATTTCCCCCTTTTTTTTATAGATATATGAAATCCATTCGTTCGTACAAGTTCTTTGCTAGTATGAACAGCATGGATCCTAATCAGACTGCGCGGATGCGCAGGCTGGTCTGGATCCATGCTGGTCGCAAACCCACTATGTTGGTTTTGTCGTGACGCGGCTCAAATGTACTTTTACTCTTTAAAGGAGCTCGACTTAGGCCCAAAAGCGTGTCAAATATTAAAATTGTGAAAGTCAGACAAAGATCGATCGGAGCACTTTAAACTTACAATATGCAAAAAACAATGAAAAATATACTCGGAATTAAATTGAAAATCGATTCCTTGTGCGATTCTAAGCCCGACTTCTTTTCCGGGAGGGGCGAGATCATTTTGCAAGATAAACGTGATAATTCTAGAAGAACGAGGTGAGCGAATGATTTGAAAATTTACACAAAAGTTATTTATCTAGATCTACATCGAGTGATACTTAAATCTTGAAAAAGATATTTCCTAAAAATCCTCAGTGGAGTTCCTTTAAAAAACGATTTCATTGTAAATGAACGGGATGAATATTTTAATAATGTCGACATTATTTCAAATTTATGGGAATAAAAAGATTTATTTTAATAATCTGTTAACCATTCCAATAATAAACGATTCCTAATGACACTATTTGAGTTGAAGAAAGGTATACAAACGAACACAATTTGACTCTGACCCCTTCTCAACCGACTATACGTAAACAAAATTATCTGCTATTTTTTGTAAATCCTTAATCAAATTCTTACCCTACGAAACATTTAAAAAAATCGGACTTTTCGTGGACATTTTTTATTTTTCAAAATTATCCCAATAATAATAATAATAACAATAATAATGATGATGATGATAATAATAATAATAATAATAATAATAATAATAATAATAATAATAATAATAATAATAATATTAAATTCAAATCGGGCTAAGCTAGAATTGCACACAAGGAATCGATTTTTAATCTTATTCTGAGTATATTTCTGTATTACCTTTTTGCATTTGGTAATTTAGGGAGAAAAATGAAATGTGTAGTCAGATGGGATGGGATTCAAAAGTTCGATCCACACCTAAAATTGTCTGTATTAAATCTGTCCGAAAACGAGCGATCTCTCGTTGTTTTGTAAAAAATAAACTCGGAATGAAAATAAGGGAAGTTTAGTTTGTTATACATACAAGCACATAAATTCATTTATCATATACTTATAAATGACATTTTGAGAAATATTGATGAAAAAAGGCGTATTTTCATTTTCCGTATTTTTAACATAAAAATTTATTTTTCACTGCAACGGAACATATTGTCCGTATTTTCACTGATGTCTGCCGGACTACTTTCTCCTATATCAGCTGATAATCAAAATTTAAGGGCAAGTCTTTCAAATTGTAATATTAAAAAAGAGAAATATGTATATAATAAACAGAAAAATCAAGCTTTTTTCTATGAATACAGCATTTTATTTCATCCTGTGGTATGAAAATTATCATATTTCACTCGTGGCTACCGCAACTCATGAAATATTTCTTTTCATACCACTTTATGAAAATAATTCTTGTATTTATTGAAAAAAACTCATCGTTGTAGTATATATTATTACAAAAAATAAAACTATATAAACCATTCATGCGTACTAAACCTGAAAGCGGTTTTTGACGTACGTTTTTGACCAAAAGATTATTTCAGTCCCGATTCCCCTAAACATTCATTTTCAGGCAAGTACGGGTGTATTATTATTTAGAAAAAAAGTAACTTTTTCTTTTGTAGACAAAAATAAAAAACATGGACATGAAATTGTCTCACTTCAGGACTTTTGATAATGCAAATTATGTTACATAATAAATAGATAAATAAATGAATAAATAAATAAGCTGAAAGTCTACCAAATGCCTAATATTGACAGAAAACTTTTGATATAATGTAACAGTTCAATTGCAAATTTTAATATCGATAAAAATAGGTAAATCATATTTTGATATATAAATCTTTAAAGGGTTTCATGTCTTGCACGGAGAACTTTGGCTATTTTTTCCGTAGGCATGCACGTTATCCGAAAAGGGCATGCGAGATTTAAGGTTACTCCTCGTGATAGTCTGAAACAGACTCGCGAGAGTATATTCTGATTCTCGCCTGGATTAAATTTAAATATGCGACATTTTAAACATTTAATGTAGCTATAATTTTCTTGCGAGAAAGATAATTCATCAAAAATGAATTGGCGGCTGTAGAATAGGCTATTATATACCACACGGACCGGCTGTGATTTAAAATACATGTACTTACTATGTGAATTCTCACATCCTTAATCACTCCAACTGCAAAGTTATGCATGCATTTCATTATATAGAGAATATTGAATGAGTGTAAGTTTAAAACTGAATTTATCGAACGAGGTGCATACAAATGTATTATGCGAGCCTCTGGCGGGCTTAATATTATTTCATACAACGAGTTCATTAAATTCAGTAAAGAACTTACACGAATTTAATATTCTTTTTATAACAGACTGAAAATAAAGACCAATTGAAGTGAAAAAGAACCTTTTTTCATTGACGCGCCTTTCGTATATAACGCTAACATTTAGAGCGGCTTAACGCTTTGCTTGTATAACGCAAATGACGTCACGTCAAAATATATGCATGGTCGTGCAATACCATTTTTACCGAGTCGCAAAAAACGTCACGGGTATGTTATAAATGTATATAGCGGTGTTGTATTTCTATTAAAAGTATAAATTTAAAGATAGCGTGTTCAATAAATAACTGGTTTTAGTGCACACTATAAAAAGTCAAAAGATATTACATGATTATAATTTTAAGTGCATTAAGACAACATTTTTCAGAAAAAAAAGAGAAAAAACACAGCAATACTAGTATTGAACATTGTTTAATTTATAAATGAATTTATGGGCTTGTATTAATGTTTAAACCATGACCTACCTATATTTACTATGTTTGAATTATTGTACAACATGTGATAATTGTGATTGTATGCATAAAACTGTTTTTCTATTCTGTTTAAGTTCCATGAAAATGAGAAACAAAGTGTAATACGAATTAATACAAATCGACTTCGCAATGCAACAGAGCTTTGAGACAACAAAGCAAAGCGTATGTTCCAGGCTCCTATATCCAACATTCAAAGCTCGTGGCAAATCTTATTTACAAATACATAAAATTGATACGACATTTCTAAAATTGTAAAATGGCAGATAATCCTGAAATTATTATTTGCGAAGTTATGACCATTATTTTTACTTATTATTTTGTCTTCTAACTCAAAGATTTTCAAAGGTATAAACTTCAAAAAGGTCTCATTTTGCCGTTTGAGGTTCATTACTGTTTTCAAGTTCATCATGTTTCTAAGAAATATTCACTAATGTCCTTTTTATATTTTTTCTACAGGGACATAAGCGATACTGCCAGTGGAGGGATTGTCTTTGCGCGAAATGTACTCTGATAGCCGAACGTCAGCGCGTAATGGCGGCACAAGTCGCTCTCCGTCGTCAGCAGGCACAGGAAGAAAACGAAGCTAGCGACTTGGGTATGCTGTATGGACCCGGCGGACTTCTACGCATAAATTCTGATAACATGAAACCACCCGTGTCTAATAATAAAATCAGTAAAAGAAGGAATGATGGACAAGATTCTCATAACAATTGTAAGTGTTCTTTTTTCCCAAAAATACGAAAGCTGCAGTTCACAATCTTAATGGGCCTTTTTCTACAATATTTTAATACTAATTAAGATTACCATTGAACATTTAAATTCACGAAAAATAACAACAAAACAATAAATAAACAAACCATCTTTTTGAGATCACCAATTGAAGTTAAGATGGTCTCCGCAAGAAGCAAAATAACACTTGTTGCTTGATTGCATTTGAGTATTGTGTTTTATTCAGTATTTGTAATATTCTTTTTCAGCTAAACCTGTGAAGCAATGTAAGGGGAATGCAGAATATGGAGAAGTAGAGAGCACTTCGCAAATTTCTTCTGCTAAATCAGATACGATCAGCACGATGGCTTCATCACACAGAAGCAGCCGACAATTTCACCAGGACCAAAAGTTGGACACCCAAGACGCACATTCACAATCGGATAAGAAATACGAAATCATTAGTAAACTGTTTCCAATGTTGTCTGCCACAAATGTGAAAAATATTTTGAGTATCAATGATAATGATATTTCCATGACAATTGATTTTATTCTGTCGAAAAATTTAAACGATTCGCGTAATTCGGTTTCAATGGTTTCTTCATCTATGATGTTAAGACCTGGTTTCTTTGGTAACGCCCTACATTCAAATATCTATGGCAGCAACGCTATGATCGGAAGACTTCGGGCATTTCCAAACTGTACAGCAGCCGACAACTTCCGGTTTCCGATGACAACAGTTTTCAACAGTTTACCATACTCGATGCTTGAAATCCCAGGAACTCATTCAGAGGACAGAAATAAACGTATTACAAGTGCAAGGGAAACAAACGTCAAACACGATTCAATCTCCGGGTAGTAAAATACAATGCATGTGAATTCTAAATAGTAGGCCTACTCAGTAATACTTTGTAATCAAAAAAGACCATACGTGACATTAAAGGAATTTCTCTAGAGGAAGATAAATGATTTGGTCAACATTTCAGGGGGATCCCTGTTTTGTTTTTCTTTTTTGCGAAGCTGAATTTATTCTATACTGTATAACTTACTAAAAATTGCTATTCATTTCGACAGACAGTAAATATTATTATAGATAAGTATATACGTCGGGAAAACAGCCAATGCAACTTTGTGGACGTTGGGCATATGCCCCAATAAGATTTAATGTCTGAAAAAAATGCTAGCTTGCAATTGTTATGGGAACAGTTACTGTTACAATTTTCGTGTATTCTTAAAGGAAATGATACTTTCCTCAGTGTTTGACCTTTTTTCATTTTGAAAACAACAGCAATAGAAGTGTTGATTGACATAATTATGATACTTGGATTTGGTGAAGAAATACATGTACATATTCAAATTACATTACTTGCGTGTACATAGTATATTGTATAATTTGACCCGTTGCATTCAGACTGTATAAGACTTGCATTTTAATATTGTGATTTAAGATTTATATACAAAATGTATAAGTTTTTCTGAGGATGTCAGAAAATAATTTCAGCAAAAGATTTAACGCTAGGACATTAGATAATAAAGCGTGACCGTGCATCTGTGGTGTATTTCTTAAACATCAGATTGTCAACCAAAAAAACATATTCCAAAGAGATGCTTTTAATTTCGTTACTCAAAAACTTTCTTTTTTCGGATTTCCAATTTATTCATTAGTCGATTACATCAACATTCTTTTTCTTATGCTTATGTTGCTTTTTTGGCAATTAGAGTACAGTTATAGTGTTTTTGTGTACATTTCGCTACTTTTATGAAAAATTATTTCACATTTAGCGCTTATTCAGGTAACCAGCTCTTTAACCACTATATTTAAAAGTTACAAAAAATTCGTTTGCCATTTCTAAAGAAGTAAAAATGTATTCATTTCCGAGGCATAATTAATGCGTCTTTCATTGCAATGACAGAAAAATTTAAACCTTTTAAATCTATATTTTTGCGCTCTTCAATAGTGCTAGTCGAAAAAACTAATTAACGTTGTTCCAAAAGATCTGTACCCGGTATCTTATAAGGAAAACAGAGACTTATATTTAATAGCACCTTTAAAACGCAATCGATATCTTAAACTGCAAACGCTAAATAAATATTACATGCAAGATATTTAATGGGAAAAATAAAATGGGTTCGAATTTATACTGTCGAAGTAAAGTTCGAGGTGCAGTCAAAATCAATTTGTCTTTTTTCTTTCTTATCTTTTGTCTTAAAAACAAATGTTTCATCTTATTTATCAATTTAATAAAGGACAGGAATTAAATACTGTCTTAATATATGGTAAAATAAAACAAGACTGTCAGAGAAGACTTCGGCGCTCGACTAATTAAATACTTGACGTGATAAAAGAAGATATAACTATTGGGAAAAATCAATAATTATTATGATATAAGTACATTTCTGTATCAGTATCAAGAAAGCACTCAATGTTCAATGTGTTTGCATCACAATCCATTTCGTAACAGAAATAAGAGCAAAAAAGTATTTAAAGTAAAATTATAAGTTCAAATAAGTAAAAGACTATTGAAATAAAGATACTAGGGTTATGAATCTTGTCATGCATAATGTGAGAAATGACAAATAAGAATTACCTTAATTATCTTAAGTCTATAGTAGATACATTTGTACCATTTACAATATAACAATTTTCAAATAAATTTGAAGATTAAAACTTAACTGGAGAGAATTCTTGAAATATATGAGGTAGTGTTATAAATTTTATCACTGACAAAGATGATAACAAACATATTTTGAAGTCTGAATTAAATCCCTGAAGAAATAAAGAAATTAAAGAAAAAATATGGAAAAAATATGGAAAATTCTATGTTCAACGGAAAGATAATTCGGAAAATATTGACGCAAGAGTTATGAACCTTTCATATCATTATTATAAGGGAGTTGATATGAAACTAAATTCAAATAAATCGTTTGAAAAATAAAGAAGTTAAATCAATTTTTTTTATATAAAAACATTCCAAGGTCAAGAGGGGAATAATTCTGTGCTAGTTATGAATCTTGTCAAGTATCATGTGGTTGATGAGAAGGAACATATATTTGAAGTTGATACCTTAAGAAGTGAAAAATCTACAGTATAAATATTATACTGTTTAAAAACATTAATCTAAAATCTGGACGAGGACCAAATCTAGAGTAGGACAGCTCTCCATATGCTAAAAATGCATGGAAGCTGGAACACATTCACCTAGTTAAGTTTCATACAATACTGTACTGGGTTGTTGTTGTTTTTCTTATATATAATCATTCCAACTGTCGTAAAAACAATTTAACAGACAATCCATTTATTCTAAAAGCCCAAATGACGTGACGTTATCAAAGTATCCGGGGAAAAAAAACAGAATTTCGGCCATTCCTGGTAATATAGGGACACATATTTTTTTCTGAACAGAAATGGTAAATACTCAAAAAATATTAACAAGAATGTCGAAGACGCGGCAGGAATTGTCACAAAACCAGGTTTCAAGCCAATGATATTCAGTGTCTTCTTCCAAAGTACACAACGGGACATTTCCTTAAAAATAACAACAAAATTCCTAGCTTCAGCGTCATCAATTTATGTAGTACACTTAAAATGGTTTTGTGAAAATTTGGTTTAAATCCTCCTGGCATTTAGGAAGGCCTGCACACTGATGAATATTTTTTCTATCGTGATATAAAGAAAAATCATGAAATGTACAAGAATTTAAAAAAAAACAACAAAAAAACAAAAAAAAAAATCCGTTTAGGATTAGAACAATAAATCTTACAGAATACTCCGCGCAGTATAGGTGCGACAAGACGTATATCCAGATGTATAATATTATACGTTCGAAGATGACAATAATTCTGAAAAATTCTGGAAATTTCTCTAGAAAATTTGGGAGTTACAAGAGAGAAATTTATTTCTATATATAGAGCTCGAGCCTGCCAAAAAAAAAAAAAGAGATCAAATCACAAAACCCCGCCAGTATGCGCCAGGGCATTTGTAGGAAATAATTCCGAGAAAGTGTAAGCGTTGAAATCTCTCGAGAAAATGAATATTTCTTAATCTATTAATATGTGAACAAACGGGTTAGAATTAGACCTTACAATGATAACCACAAAACAAAATATACCTATAGCCCTCCACGACAAAACTTTTGTAAATGTAAGTTGTGTACACGCTCGTCCACTAATGTTTACCAATCAACCATTTTTTCTTCTGAAAATCTGGTTAAAACACAAAAGCTGTGCATTTCAAATGGTGACATTACGGCTGGTTTTACACAGCGTACCTATTTTATTGTCATAGACTGACCTTTAACCCTCGACATTTTATCATCAGTTATACAATTCTTGAATGAAATCTGAAGTAATCAGGCTAAGTTCGCCACCAATAATCAAGCAACAATGCATTTAAGGTCACTTTGTGACCTTTAAATAATCCTAAAAATAGTTGTCTACAAGCAAACATTCAACTGTTTCTTGCTAAATATGCAGAAAGAAAACAATTCAAATTATATAATAAAAAATGTGTTGATAGCATCATCTAATACCTTACTGTTCAGACTTCAACACAACAGGAATGAAGAAACATTTTTGCCATCACTACCAACAAGAGTTACGAGGCTTTATGAATATGCATACTTTACCAATCAAATTATATTTGTAAAACCAGTATTAAGAGGTGTACGGGCTAGTGGTTAAGGTGTCAGCCTCTTAACCCAGGAATCATGGGCTCGAGCCAGTACTGGTTGGTTCCATGAAGCGGACACAAAAGTGATTAGTACAAGGTTGCAAGAACTTGTTTCGCAATTGAGCTTAAATAAATGTTTAAACTAAGAAGGTTAAGGGCAAAATATAGAATCACATTAAACTGAACCAGATAAAAATGTGAACTATAGAGAATATACAATTCTTATGAAAACAACACAAGATGTTTCTCACTTCTCATATTTATTTCATTTTCAGATGTAATATTCAAAACAAACAACACGAGGAGTAAAAATGAGAGATTTATAATATCATCACTGTGATGTTTCCTGTATCAGATAAAGTGACATGATGCTCATTTTTTTACTTGACAATTGAATCTCAAAGGTTGACTATCATAATGGTGCTAAGTTTAAATAAGCCAAATATAAAATTGAAAACAATTATGGCGAAATGTAAAAGTATTTGGACTTTCATCTGAACACTCCCCATTTATACTTTCATGGGCAAAATGTCACTTTAACAGTATATATGCTAAAATATTCTTCAACAAATTATTAAATAAATTTCTTAACAGTCATTTCATAATCATACTTAGTATTGAAACAAATGGTCTGTGTAAAATATTACCTTCTGGTTAAATTTGCATCTTCACAAAAAAGAATGAAAAAAAATCCAGTAAAGACAAAACAATGTACATAAAAGTTAACATTTTTAAAACCCGCTAAATCAATTCATAACAGTTGTTCAAAATACTGTATTTTCTACATGCTTTTTACAAATGATATCCTACAATTCTTCCTATTCATCAACTGGCAAAAATTAAACCAATGTTGGTGTTTTTTTTCCTTAACTTAGAAACAGAACAGAACATTAACAGAAAAATGGTTTACAGAAAATCATCGTGTGGTGCTAGGTTTTGCATAAAAGCAATACAAAAATTTACAGACATACTATGTGCAACATCCAGCAAAATGATATTTGCCTGTAACAGCAGGATTTCTCAAATATAGTCAATGATATAAGTGGCCAATTCAACATGAGCTGAAGTAGTTGTATTCATCCTCCATTTACAAACATTACATAAATCTTACAGTACTATCTTTATATATTGACATCTTTGATGTTATTGACACCTTTGCTGGTAAAATAGAACAAGTACATATGTACATTGTAGTTTGAATCTATGTCCATGCTCTACATTTTGTTTAAAAAATCAGTTCGTTTTTTTTTTACATTGTTACCTAAATTAATGTAAAATTGAAACATATGCATAAGCTACCAAACTTTATTCCCCTTTCAGATAAAACAAATAATTGGCCCCCTCTAGCTGTACCTTCTGTTGATTTTATTGTCATTTGATCAGTCTTCTTTTGCACAGGGCTGTTTATTAAATAATGAAATCAGAATGTCAGATGTAGTTACATCAGGTGACACTTAAATTTTAGAAGCTCAAAAAACAGAAAATATTTCCATTAACATTATCTAACGAACACCCCTTGTAAAGAAGACCAACTTCATTAAATGAACACTTCTCAAGTAGCAGTCCATTATTGCCCTATACTTTTTTACCTACTTGTAAGACAAAATGTTCAGAGCTGAAGTGAAAAGATGTATCACTCATTAATAAATCACCGGTACTCTTGAAAGATTAATTTTGAATTTGTTTATAGACTTAGAAGGTATAGTTTTTACACTTAACCTACTGGAACCGGAAGTGATTGACCTTTGCCACCAGTACAGAGCCAGGCCAGCCTGTACATCTGTGCAGACTGACCAGGCTCTATACAGATGGTCGCTCAATTTTTGTATTTTGTAATTGAAATCCCTGAAATTTTGAATGAACTGCCTCACATTAAAGGCAGGGCAAATTCATTATACAGGAAGATACGAGTTAGGTCAAATGTTTTACATAGTAAATGTTGTTAACCCATTTGATGTCAAAATAAAATTCTCTAAACTTGTATAAAATCAGAAAAAAATCATGTTATATTTTTGGTAATTTGAAATAAGAATCTATTAATAGTGCTAGATTTTCAAACAAAATTTCACAACATTTTTGGGGATTTGACTCATGATAATATAGTGTTATGTAATATAGTATGTTGCACCTGGTTAGCCATATAATAACCTTTTTTTAACTTCAGTTCAGAAAAAGAATTATTTAACAGAATTATATTTTTGCATGATAAGAGTATGCTATTTTTGAATGAAAGATTCTGAAAAAAATCTTTCCATAATATTGTGTAACCAAATTCATCTAATGTCAAGGTATCTCAAAGGTCACTGAAACTGTTAAAACCATCCTGTAATTCTGGATGCACTGATGCTTAGTTCAATTTATATCTAAATTGCATAACAAGAAGCAGATTTTCTTGAAAAAATATTTTTCAACTCTTAACTTGTTAGAACTAAAAGAGATCAGCCTTTGTCACCAGTATAGAGCCAGGCCAGCCAGCACAGTCATGCAATCTGACCAGGGTCTATCCTGTTGGCAGCCTTTTTAAATTTTTGTTAATAAAACCCCTTAAAAGTTTGAATGGACTGTTCCAGATTCAAAGCAGGGCAAATCAAGTACTCAAATTAAGATTAAGGTTTAAAAGCAAATCAAATTTCTGTTTATAATCTTAAACAAAATATTGGTTTTTTTATTAACACTGACAAACACTCCCCGATGCTGCTTTAACAAAGCTGAAAACAGGGCCTTAGTGAGGAAAAAAAAGGAAACTTTAGTTTTAGCTGCATTGAAAAATTAATCAAGTGATCTGATATCCATGAAAGGTACCAGAAACATATTTGTCAACAAATGAAGGTTCTATAAGAAACAGTGACTAAATCTGAAGAAAGGAGGGATCAAAATAAACGAAAGACAAACTATTAACTAAATGATCCATCAGAAATAATTTCCACATGATCAAGCATTCAAAATATTTATACAACTCATATCAAATATTATTAACAAGCATGGCATTGTGGTTAGTAGAAATATTTTCATGCAATGATCCAAAATGGAAGCAGGCGAGAAAATAATTTCTCATGTTTTGTTTTAGCTGTATAGTCAACATCCTTCTCTTGGTACTTGAAAGCTTGGTTTTGGTGTCCGTCTGTCTGTCTGCTAAAAATGACAACACATCAATAATCAATCAGTGAAGTAGAAAAAAAAACATATATAAACTACCACTCTTCACAAATAATTGCCCCTGCTTAAAATCTAGAAAAGTTTGTTGGGGACAAAATTTCTGATTAGAATTACTATAGAATATTTAATGTTACTATTCAATTTAGGAGAAGAAAGCTAAATTCATTTCATTTTCATTAACAATCAAACCTTGACCAGTCAGCCATTGTTATTTCTTGCCATCCGACTCATAGCTTGCTCTTGAATCTTCGGATTCCTTGTAATTTCTACCACGCGATGATGACCTGCAAGTAAAATAAGAAATATCTAATTAATTACATGATAAACATCTAAATACAGTAGAACTTCGGTAAGTCGAAGTTGGAGGACTTGTGTAAAAACTTCGACACATCGAGACTTCGACTCATGAATCGGTCTGAATTTCATGACCAAATTTCAACCCGTGACTAGCCCTATTTATAAGATCTATAACGTAACCTATTTCATGTTTTTCTTTCATTCATTAATCAGATATTTTACATTATACAATGATAAATATGACACGTTAAGTAACTTTTCACGGCTAAATTGACTTGGACTACCTGTTGACGTATTCAATAAAGTTACAAAAGGCGTAACAATTTGAAAGGGCAATAACTAAACCAGCTTATAGTAATTATTTCGCGTGTGATTATCACGCGACACCGGGTCACGGAAGTACTCAAATGATACATGTACTTTAAAATCCGCTAATGCAATTAAAATAGTAACGATTAAAGCATTTTTTTCACACATTTAAACGCATACAAAGGCTGTTTGAACACTCGGCTGTGTAATTAACACCTGTCACTAAAGTTGATCGGAAATCGTCTTCGCCCGGCCCAGAAAAGGTGTGAAAAATGTCTCGAGATCGAAGGTGTCAAAATAATCGAAGGACTTCGGCTTATTTGTGGTAAATGGTTCTAGTTTTATTCTATACGGACCACGAAAAAACTTCGACACATCGAAAAATTCGACACATAAAATCACGACTCATAAGTAGGTTTTTATAAGGAATATATAAGGAAAAAAATCGGGACTTTCATTTTACTTCGACACAACGAGAAAATCGACTAATCGAAGTTCGACTCATAGAAGTTCTACTGTAATTACTAGGTAAGATACAGTTTTCTAACAAAATTAAACATGTATCAAGTGGACTGAAAATTTGATAGATTGTAGCTCCAAATTCACCTTGGCACAATTTTTAAGCAATACTTAAAATATACGGTATGTCCAATTCACAAAATTTTAATGTTCTATCCATATAAAATATAATTATTGCAATCAAGTTACATTGTGTTATAACTAAACCAGTGGTATGAAATATACTTAATTAAATGAGAAAAATTATTTCACAAATATTTTTTTAACTTACACGTTTAAGTATTTCTATCAAAATAACACAAACTCACACTTTGATTCAAACATAATATTTTTCAAAAAACCATTTTGACATAAAAATATACTTTGAGGGAAAACAAAGTATCCAAAAGGAAACGCTGAAGTTAATCATTAATGAGCCTTACTAAATGCCCTTACCTAAAAATCTTTAATCATGGGATAACTACATGCATCTTTATAATGAAGACTGTTTTTCTCAATTACAATAACCCCAAGCCCCTATCAAGCAATATCTAAACATATCTATCAGTCCATATTTTGTTTTGTAGATAATTTGTATAACCCAACAGTAAATTTTTGACAATAATTTAGCAAAACATCGGATACCAAAAAAATTAACAAGTGATATTGACCTTTGACCTTTACCAGTACCCCTGTTACCCGTTACCTGGACCTAGACCGTGAGTATCTAGCACGCTTTCTGTCTTTTGACCTTGACCTCGATCTGGATGTTGATGATGAACCTGAACTTGAGCTGCGAGAGGATTGTGAGCTAGAACTGGATGAACTTGACCGTGACCTTGACCTTTTACCACGGGACACATTTTTATCATCATCATCATCATCATCATCACTTGCAGCAAGATCATACTGCCCCAGGTCTCCATCATCATCCTCTTCTTCTTCATCCTGGAAGTTTAAAAACATGTTATTAGAATAAATTGCTAGAGTTTGTTTGCTTGGTTTTACAGCACACCAACACAGTATAGGTCATTCCTAGAGTAAGACTTCATATGTGCCTTCAAAGAATGTCAGAGGATGAAGGCTGGTTGCCACATTCTTACCGAGGTATCATTCTAACTGACTTATCATACCGAGTTATCACATTCTTACTAACAGTTAACATTCTAACCGAGATATCTTGAATAATCATTCATACTATACTATAAACAGTAAATGGTCTTAATTATGCATATTCTTTTTTCTACTTTATGTGTTCATAACAACCATATTCAACCTGAAAACAACCCATTATTCACTAACAAAACACTAAGTTAAATTTTCAATGTTACATATTTCCGAAAAACATAAAATTTTTGCTGTAAAAACTTTTTTTAAAAAATTGTGACAAATGATTTTTTAATTTTTTCTGAAACAGAAAGAATTGTTTCCATTACAAGAGCTGTCAGAGGGGACAGCATGATTTAAACTAATTTAATACTTCACACAGCTGTAGCAAAAAATGTCAATATATAGTTACACATGGTATTTATGTGCAAAGAATGATGTATTGTTCAACCTTTTGCGTTTTGGGCATTTTGTAGCTCTAGTATAATTATCAGCCTTTTATGTCATGCACTTCAAACAAATGAACATTTCCTATTGTGATGTGACAATACAGGAACGATCCTTGCGCGGTCAAAAATAACAATTATTGTTCTAGCTTTATTGCACAACATGGCTACTAGAGATTGAAACTAGAACTGCCACTATCATGGCGTGAATACCCCCGCATACCACTTTGTCAGAATCAACAGTGGCCATTTAGAGCTCAAGGACAACCTCCCTGCCAAATCTGAGGTTACTAAGCCAGTGCATTGCTAAGTTATGTAGTCTACATGCTTCAAATGTGAAAATGTCAAAATCAATACATTGCGGACAGGACATTCTTTAGCAATTGAGAAGAAAAGCTTTTGTCAAGGTCCCTGTGACCTTGACATTTGACCCAGTGACCTCAAAATCAATAGGGGTCACCTTATAGTCATGATCAACATCCATGCCAAATATGAAGACCGTGGGTCAAAGGAATCTTAAGTTAATGGGTGGACAAGCTTTTTGAAGTGAAGGCCCCTGTGACCTTGACCTTTGACCTCAAAATATATAGGGGTCATCTACTAATCGTGACTAACCTCCATGCCAAATATGACGACTGTAGGTCAAAGGAATCTTAAGTTATTGGGCGGACAAGCTTTTTGAAGTCAAGGCCCCTGTGACCTTGACATTTGACCCAAGGACCTCAAATTCAGTAAGGGTCATCTACCTATCATTATTAACCTCCATGCCAACTATGAAGACTGTGGGTCAAAGGAATCTTAAGTTATTGGGCGGACAAGCTTTTTGAAGTGAAGGCCCCTGTGACCTTGACCTTTGACCTGGTGACAACAAAATCAATAGGGGGTCATCTACTAATCATGACTTACCTCCATGCCAAATATGAAGACTGTGGGTCAAAGGAATCTTAAGTTATTGGGCGGACAAGCTTTTTGAAGTCAAGGCCCCTGTGACCTTGACCTTTGACCTGGTGACCTCAAAATCAATAGGGGTCATCTACTAATCATGACTTACCTCCATGCCAAATATGAAGACTGTGGGTCAAAGGAATCTTAAGTTATTGGGCGGACAAGCTTTTTGAAGTAAAGGCCCCTGTGACCTTGACCTTTGACCTGGTGACCTCAAATAATAGGGGTCATCTACTAATCATGACTAACCTCCATGCCAAATATGACGACTGTAGGTCAAAGGAATCTTAAGATATTGGGGGGGACAAGCTTTTTGAAGTCAAGGCCCCTGTGACCTTGACCTTTGACCTAGTGACCTCAAAATAAATAGGGGTCATCTACTAATCATGACTAACCTCCATGCCAAATATGAAGACTGTAGGTCAAAGGAATCTAAAATTATTGGGCGGACAAGCTTCTTATAGTAAAGGCCCCTGTGACCTTGACCTTTGACCTGGTGACCTCAAAATCAATAGGGGTCATCTACTAATCATGACTTACCTCCATGCCAAATATGAAGACTGTGGGTCAAAGGAATCTTAAGTTATTGGGCGGACAAGCTTTTTGAAGTAAAGGTCCCTGTGCCCTTGACCTTTGACCTGGTGACCTCAAAATAAATAGGGGTCATCTTCTAATCATGACTAACCTCCATGCCAAATATGACGACTGTAGGTCAAAGGAATCTTAAGATATTGGGCGGACAAGCTTTCTGAAGTCAAGGCCCCTGTGACCTTGACCTTTGACCTAGTGACCTCAAAATAAATAGGGGTCATCTACTAATCATGACTAACCTCCATGCCAAATATGAAGACTAAGGGTCAAAGGAATCTTAAGTTATTGGGCGGACAAGAAAAAACCGACGGACAGCCGGCCGGACGGCCGGCCGGACAAGCTGATTCCAGTATACCCCCCTTACAACTTTGTTGTGCGGGGGTATAAATAAGCAAAAACTCTAAAATAACATTTACCGAGTCAAGTTTGTATGCTGAAGCATCTCCCTCATCATCATTGCTGTCATTTTCCTCCTCATCATTATCAGGATATTTCTTTTGTACTTCATCAATTGATTGTCTACCTTTTTTCTTTTTTCTGCCAAACTATAGAATTTCACATATTATTTATAATGCTCTATAAATAAAGAACATAGGATTCCACACATGACTACAAAAAAATAGGTTAAATTAAGGTGACTTTTTTTTAAATACATTGACTTCCATCATTAATCTAAAATTTCCACTACACATACATTGCACACAAACTATTATAAAGTCAAATGGCAAATCAAATGGCAAACATGTATCACTTCATGTATAAGCATGAAACTGCCTTGACCTATCCAATTTAGGAAATCTTACAAAAAGTCATTTCACAGGTTCAAAGTCATTACCAAAGATATTTTTAAATTGACAATCAGGGCCAAAAAAAAACTGAAGAAACCCAGCTGCCCGAAACAAACAAGCATCTTTTCCCCCATGATTAGTCCTTAAAACTTCCGAGGCCATGAAATTCTACATTCAAATTAGAACAAAAATTAACAGTATAAATACCTCATCATATTCATCATTATCATCAACAACTCGTTCTTTATACTCCACAACTTCGTCTCTTTCCATGTAGCCACCACCAAATCCAGTTCGCTGTTCCTGCTTGCCATATTTTGGAGTATTACACATGTTACACGTCATTCGTCTTGCCCAATTTACATTCCCACATCTTTAACAGAAAAAAAGGAGATAAAAATCTTTTAAGCTCTAAAAATATATTGCAAGAATATACTGAAAGTAGCTTCCCTACATTGCTTTAGCAAGCTTAATTATTATCACTGACAAACAAAACAATAAAGTTTAATTTGGTGACCTTGACATTCATGATTGGACCTACTTACCCTCCCATATCTTCCCAAAGGGAAAACAATGAGCTGCAAAGAAACTACATTATCATTTATTAAAAATTTACAAATCATTGAAAATATTTTTAGTTGATTTATTTTTTTGTAAAAAGAAACAAACAAATAAGTGAAACCTTGTCACATGTCATTTTAATACAATTTTGTGTTTTTTTTTAAGTAGTGGCATTGTCAGGTAGATGCATCATTCAGACTAGTAATCTAGGATTGCTAGTCACATTGGTTCAAACCCAGATAGAGGCAAACGTTAATGCCTTGAACAAGAAAATTTCCCTCATTGCTTAGGTTGGTTTCAGGAACAATTTTGAGTTTTATACAGCTTTTTACACAATCGATCTAAAATAAATTTGGTAAAATTAACATAAGTAGAAACTATATTATATATTAAATCTTTTATCAAGATCAAATAAGTTCATTTTACGTTTTACACTGCCAGTCATCGGCACTGAAGAGTCCCTTGCTTTTCTCCGCCAAGTTTTTACCAATTTCTTGTCCACCTTTCTTATACACAATTCCTTCTTTTCTATCTAAATTCAAAATAAGTTAACATAATTAAAACTCCTGCCCGATGAAATATAGGCGTCATAAGCATAGAAAATTTACAATTGATGCATTTTATTAAATTGGATTTTACGTCACATCGCCACAGTATAGGTCATATCGAGTCGAGATGTCCCAGCTTTACTGGTGGAGGAAAACCTAAGGTGCCCTTCTGTGCATTATTTCAGGCACGAACGGGTACCTGAGTAGAACCACCGACGTTCCGTAAGATTTTATTAAATAACTCTATTATCAATAAAGGCTTAAAGCATAATTTTTTAAGTCAAAAAGGTGCATAACTCAAACATAGCTTTCACAGTATGCCTTTTGTCTAACAAATGCACCTTGTCAATTTCATGTTTATTAAATCAAGTATGCCAATTTTCATCTTGTTATCTTTTTAAGTGATTAGGTAAGGGGCATCATTAAATTAGGCCATAGTGACAAAGGCTTATAAATCAGATAAGGTGGTTAAATTTTGCCATTCCATAATGGCCATGCATTATTTTGACGAATGGTTTTGTCCAGATTAAAAGATGCACAAGTCCATTTAAGAATAAGACATAATGTATGGTCAGGTTTAAATAACTTGTACCTTTTCCACATTTGTTACATTGTGATCTTCTTGCAAAATTAACATTTCCACACCTGAAAGTTAAATTAAGAAATACAATTAATGTGAGGTAAACAAAATTAATCCTTCCCCTGTTTTATTCCTATAAATATGATGTCGCTTAGAGATATTTTTGCTTCTGGACAAAGCAATGTCATATCAAAATTGCTCGAAAACCCATAGCATGTTCTGCCAGAAAATCAGGCGGAACAAAAAACAAGCGTGTACTTACATTAATTTTGACCTTTAATGGCTTTATATGGAAACAAGAGCCCGGTTTGAGCCAGGTGATGCTCCCCGAATAGGTTTTGGACACAGGAAAGTACACCTCTTGTAGTCGTGGAAAAAGTTCAAAGTGCAAAAATCCAAAATGAGGCAAGGAAGAGTTACTGTTCTTTGCACTGCACTTCTAATCAAAGTCATCTATCAACCTACAAAGTTTCTTGTTGATATCTCTTATGGTTTCCGAGTTATGTCCCGGACAACTTCAAAAAGTAAAAATAAACAAAGGGCAATAACTCCAGAATTAGGCAATGCCGAGTTATGATTCTTGTGCACTGTACATCTACCCATTGAGATATATCTACCTACAAAGTTTCATGTTGATATCTCTTATAGTTTTACAGCTATGTCCTGGACAAGATTTTTCTAAAAGGGGAGATAATTCAAAAATGAGGCTTAACAGAGTTATGGTTCTTTTGCACTGCACATCTACCCATTGAGATCTATTCACCTACAAAGTTTCATGTTGATATCTCTTATAATTTTAGAGTTTTGTCCCGGACAAGATTTCTCTATAAGGGGAGATTATTCAAAAATGAGGCTTAACAGAGTTATGGTTCTTTTGCACTGCACTTCTACTCAATGAGATCTATCTACCTACAATGTTTCATCTAGATATCTCTTATAGTTTTAGAGTTATGTTCCTGACAATGTTCAAAGTGTTAAAAATAACAAAGGGCAATAACTCCAAAATTAGGACAAAAAGAGTTATTATTCTTATGCACTGCACATCTACCCATTGAGATCTATTCACCTACAAAGTTTCATGTTAATATCTTTTATAGTTTTAGTTATGTCCCGAACAAGATTTTTCTATCAGGGGAGATAATTCAAAAACCAGGCAAAATAGAGTTATGGTTCTTTGACACTGCACTCCCCCTCAATGCCCTCTACCACTGTATGAAGTTTAAACAAATTATCTCCAAGGGTTTTCAAGTTATACTCCGGACAAGACAACGGACTGACAGACCGACGGACAGGGCGCCAACTATATGCTCCCCCGAAACTGTCACATCAGAAAAATCATATTAATTTAATCCTGTCATGACGTAATTAAATTCCTTATGCAGCGGATAAACAAATGGCCGCCATACAGTGAGCAAAATCTGATTGGCTAATTCAAATGCAAACGGTGTAACAGAATATTTTTTAAAGGAAATAATTGCCCATGCACCATCAGCATGTTCGAATATATTTTTCCACTCAAACA